TTGAAATGGACTTTATGTTTTGAGGAATGTCATTCCATGCTTTAGTATAAACATAGAAGAAAGACCTCTGGCCGTAACAGTTTTTAAAAGTTGGTTTTATCAGTTGTCCTTTTGTAACAGATCTAGTTGAATGACAACTTCCAGAATTTGATTTGGGCAGCAATGCACAGAGAGTTCCATAATTGGCACCTTGGAAGATCTGCATAAAAGCATAAAAATCCCCCTTGCGACGCACACCCAGGTCACGTGACGCCCAATCCAGTAATATATATCAATGTTAAAAACACCAATGCAGAAATATTTATGCCTAATTATTTTTATAAGACTTTGTTAGTTTTCTTTTGTGTGTGTGTGTGTCTGGAAAGATGTCTTTATAGAAAAGTTAGGGTGAATTTACATTTCAATCTCCTACTTTTCTTTAATTTTATGCTTTCAGTCATTAGTTTGAATAGAGTTATGTTCATTTATGGGAACCATTCTAGTTTAAAAGGAAGCTCAGTTTCATCTGAGAAGGTGTGTTTTCTGTAGTTTCAGTCAGATTAATTCTCAAAGTTGAACAGCTGGGTACTTTGWCATGTGACCGTGTTGTAGACGGAGGCTGACATGTTTGAGGGAAAATAGGAGTTATTCTGTGTGGAAAATAGGAAAAATGGTGAGATGTTGCTGTAACGGACTGCACGTCTTACATATAAAAAACATCTGGGGAGAAAATATTTATTTTTTCTGACTGCAAGAGCGAGGAGAGAGAAATAAGAGACACGTTGTTATCCTGCCTCTCTGTACTTCTCCTAGTTTAAAAAGAATTGCCTCATTGTTTTGATTCAGAACACACTAAAACTGGATAAACACTTTAAACTACACCCCAACTATAAGATTCAAACATGTTAGATGTCACAGATCTAATTAATCAGTCCTGTTCTCACCGGCTTGCTATTATCCCCAAACTCCATTCAACTTTCACGTCTTTTTAGTTTCTTCTTCCTGTAGATATTTTTACTACTTGTCAAATAGCTTTGGGTCTAAGTCAGAAAGGAGGTGTGGGGGTTTATATTTTTTTGGTTTGAGAGAAAGATGAGACTGATGGTTAATATTGTTTTTTTTTCATGAGATTACCATGTTTCCTGCTCCCTTCAGCTGCAATGTGCTTCAAATATAGCGATCATTTTCATAAAAAAAAGAAAGTTGTGTATGCTATTTATCATAACTCAATTTAAAAACTGCTGTATAGTTTAAGTCTCTAGTTTTGACAAAATTTGTAAGAGTCTCACAGTGAGTTTTCATCAATACAAAGATGGAGGTTGAAATCATGTGGCTGGATGACATCACACTTTATCTGTAACTTGTGGTTTCAAAACACTGTCTTGGCAAACAACCTAAATTCTAACTAATTCTATATTGTTTTTTTTTTACAGCCTATGAGGGGGTTTTTTCTACGTTGTTATATTGTCAACACTTTGACATTAATCAAGGTTTTATTGAAGCAGCTAGGAGAAAAACTGGACAGATTCTGACTGGATGCWCCACATGCAGACACATCTGTCTCTGCCAGGCTGGATCTGATGAGCACATGTTGTAGCTCCAAGTTTGTGTCATTTTACGGCAGGTGACAAATATTTTAAACCATGCTGATGAACATCTGAGTAAAGACAGTTGTAACTAGAAACTAACATTTTAGAAACAAAAGTTTTGATGACAGTTTAGAGTAAGGAAGTGGGTTGGTTTCAGACAATGATATGAGCTTGTTGATAGTTTCAGCTCTTGTTTTGTGACATTATTTCTAGTTATTGTAAACCCGTGACTTTCTAGATTTTGTAAGTAGTCATGAAGTTCTACTTGACAGCACGAACATAAGCTCTGTTGAACAAAAACTTACAATGAAACGAGTTTGATGAACACCTTTGAGAAATTAGTCGGGTGAAAATGGGCCTTGTTTGATTTGACAAGTTATCTGTTGGAGAAATCCAGGTGTGAGGATTTGGTTATTTTCTGCTAACCTAGAAGGAATCCTCTTCCTAGTAGCTCTGAATTTCTTATGCAAATTTTATCAGTTCTTTCAGCTGACTTGCTCAAGGATAAGTTAATAATGCAGCGTGTGACTCAGGTTCAGTGTTGAAGTTATCGTGAAATCTCAACTTAGTGCAGAAGCACTCTGTAGCTTCTGTAAAATCAGTGAAGGTCACTGAATTCATCCTTCGTGTTTGTAAGCTGCTTGTTAATGTGTTTTTTTTTCCTGGATGTATTCAGTATGCTGAAGGAAAAGTGGTTTTAAAAAATACCAAGTTACTTATTTTTAGTGAAATATCTATTGGTGATAGATTAATAAATGAGGAATTTTAAAAGCTTGCATGTCATTTATGATTAAAAAAAATCAACCAAAAAATAATCCAAGCCAAATTTGTTGCCGTCATTTCCATTTCTGCTGGAATAAATAATTGCTTGTAGACACAAGCATGCATGCTCTTGTTTATTTAAGATGCATTTTCAATTTTTCAATTCATAAAGCCAATTTCTAAAAGCAGTGTTTTGAGAGAAATGGAACAACCTGTGGTTACAAAGGACAGAGATCAGGTGTGAAGCTGTGAAACTTTAATTTCCAAGCCCGCTCTGACCCAGGAAAAACACACGAAGCCTCTGTGAGCCAATTGTCTGCATAAAAAATGGTCTAAAATTGCCTCTGACAAGAACACAGCAAAAGTGGTCCGGTTCATTATCAGAATATTGTGAAGTCACCGGAGGTCAATGTGTCACCATAATGAGCATGTGCCTGTAGMAGCCTCCTGGAGTGAACTCATTTTATACACGGCAGCTGGGCTGTTTTAACGCCATATCGTCTGTGGAAGAAGCTGAGATCTGTGCAGAAGCAAAGCTAATGGAAAGACGACGCAGTGACATATTAACACCCGGACGCTTTAATGGACATCGGTTTTGCAGGCCACGTGAGTCGAAGCGGCAGCAGCGTAAAATTGTCCACTGCCGCTGGATGACTGAAATATGAATACATTACTGGAGCAGAATATATTGCTGGATCCATTATTTCACATTTGCTTGCCATTAAATCCAAGCAGAAGATATTCTTTCATTTTATTCATTGGTCCATTGAAATTTCTATATATGGAATCCGTAATGACGCTTTCTAAAATGGGAGTATGAAGAAAGACCATTCTCCTTGATTTCACTGTGCAACTCGAGCGTGACCTGTGTTGTGCATGAACCCCACGCAGATTGGATAAAAACAGACTTTTTCTGCATTTTACATCAGTTGACTTACTGTTTGTCTTCCAAACTGCGGTCTTTCCGCATTTTTATTTCTTTAAGACTTTTGTAAAGTTTACACTTCACCATCCTTCTGCACCCCAGTTTGCTGCCAGTCRCATCAATATCCTTCATCCTGGCGCACATATCCATCACATGGCTCACTCGTTTGCTTTCTGTGATAGGTTACCGAGAGCCAGATTTATAGCTACCTGATCCCCACCC